GCCTTTCCTTGTATAGACAGTGCTCTGTTTACAGGACAATGTGACACTAGGCCAACTGAGTAACCAAACAAACCCAGGTATTGCTATCTATAACATCACCCACCCCTGGGGCAAAAGGGCAATTGGTCTCCTTTCGGCAGAAAATGGAGCTGCCATTGGTTTGGTGGTCCCTTGGGGAGACTTTGTTTATCGTGAAGTGGTGCTCCACAATCTTTCAGTTGCCCTGTCCTGAGTGAATCCACAGGGAATGCACTCACCAGACTCTCATTGTCTCTGAGTTCCTTGGCTAGTAAAGTGATGGCTAATAGACTGGCCTTAGACTTCCTCCTAGCCAAACAAGGAGGAGTATGTGCAGTTATCAAGACATGTTGCACCTACATCAGTAACACTGGGCTAGTAGAAGAGGACGTCAAGAAAATGTGACCACGCCAAATGGCTTCATTCCTTCAGACAGGGTAACCCAAGCGCTGACCTAGACTGCAATTAAGGACATGTTACCAAGTGTGACCTGGTTCTTGCCCCCTGCTTGGGCCTCTAGTTGCCATAATCCTTTAACTGAACTTTGGTCCCTGCCCTTTTAATCTGCTTGTTAAGTTTGCTTCCAGGTTGCAACAATTCCACATCAAGATGATGGTGATGCAGGGATTCCAGCCATTCCCTGACATAGATCCTACCGGAATAGCAGAAGTCACCCTGGGGCCCCTGGACAAAACAAGGCGAGAGTTCCGTGGCCCCAGTTAGGTAGGGTCCATGAGCCCAGTGCCAGCCTGCAGAAGCTACAGAAGACAGACCTCCGCCGCTCATCCTCCCAATAAAGAGTTCTTGGGGTCCACGTCACTTGGGAGATTTGAGGTAAGAGATAGGTGGCTGAGCAGCTGCAACCATTTCTCCTGCTGACACTTCAAGATAAAGTACTAGCAGGAGCTTCGGGCCCTGACTGGGTGGAAGACAAAGTGACTACAGTTTCCTCGTTCTTGGGGTCAAGGGGATTTTCCAGCCCAACACATCTGTTTCACAGTCCTGATCTCTTCTGGATTCTTGGTCTCGTTGGATTCTTTCCTCAAAGATATCTATAAGTCTCTGAAGTGCTTAGCAATAAAGCAAAGGTAGTGAGTTGATTGGAGCACACGTTTCTTTATTTTCATGCCTGTTTGCACCCCAGAGGACTCCATGGGACAACTGGGTCATCCCTGGGCAGTCTCGGTTAGGGGCAGAGCATGAAAATGGAAGTTCGTGCCAGTGACTTTCCACCTATTTGGACTGCCTTCTCTGCTTTTACCTGTAAGGATAGGTTTTCTTGTGTGCCTTTGCCTTGGGGTGGGTGGTGAACTCTTAATTCCTGTAATTCTTCACTAACAGTCCCTGAGCATTGCTTTCTTTCAATGGACAAGGTAGGCACTCCAGAAAGCACAACTTTATTCACTAGGACTGGAAACAAAAGCTCTCAATCAAAACACTGATTTCAAGATTTTAGTACAAGGTGGAGTGCCCTGCCCACCCCCCTGGCTTGACCTTGCCAAGCCCAGGCCCTGTATCAGCCTGCTGAGATGGTACCCTGGTCAGCAGGTGAGGGCTGGCAGTCCTGGTTTGCCTGGCATTTCTGTGGCTTCCCACATGCTGTTCACTGCATTACAAAGCCACAGCCTTGGCATCCTCCAGGATAACATGAAAGACCCTGTTGATGTTTGAACCAGGGCCTCTTGGTGGGTGGGCTGGTAGCAGGCAGCTCTGGTCCTTGATGTGATTCGTGGTGAAGCCCTCTGCCCCAGGTGTGGGCAGGAATCCTGCCTGGGCAACATGTGCAGCTGCAGACATGGCTTTCTAGGTGTTTAGGCACTGTACACGGGGCACGGGCACCGCAGCCCAGCCTGGAAGCTGGGTGTGCCCAGGATGGGGCGGCAGAGCACCGTGGTCCGGAGGACCAGGTGCCTGGCAGTCTATACATTGTTGGGTAGCCTTCCTGTGCAGAAGTTGGTTGCTCTTCTGTGAAGGCTTTTGGGGGCACGGCCCTCAGGCAGCAGCAGGTGAAGGAGGGCTGCGGACCCTCTGGCTTCCTGAAGCCTGTTTGCTGGGGCTGAGGCTCTGGATGGCTGCCCAGATGAGGGAAGGGCAAGGCTCAGCCTGGGATTCCTAGAAACAGACATCCTGGGACTGGCTGCTGGGTGGTGAAGTCAGGTGTGTGTAGACTCTATCCAGTCTTCCAGGAGAACACCCTGGTGGCCATCCCCAGCCAGGTTCAGGGTTTGCAGCAGGAGGCCCCCCGGCCCTCCCTCTTGATATAGTCGTGCAGCTGAAAGCGAGGCTCACTGGGAGCTTTCATGCAGCGCTGCTTCAACTCTCTGTGGGGTAGGGATGACCATGGAATAGGGTGGCCTGTACTCCCAACAAGGGGATTCAGACGCTGGGTCTGGGGGTCTTCCTGATAACTGCCAGGACTTACTTTGCTATGGCCATGAAAGCCAAGTCCACATTGAGGCCCATCTTGGCGCTGGTCTCCATGAACGGCAGCCCATACTCCTGCAAACAGCCATTGGTAACCTGGTGGGGACAGCTCAGGCCCTGCAGCCCCAGGGGCACTCTCTGGCTGCCCACCCAACCGCAGCTCACCTTGGCCAGCTTCTCCCCATCCTCCCTTTTCACCACACGCTCCTGGGCAGAGTCCACCTGGCACAGCAGTCTTGGTGAGAGTTGGCCCCAGCTCACTCCCCTACCACCCTCCACCCTCTGTAGAGCCAGGGTAGATGAGACAGGCTGGGGTGCCCACCTTGTTCCCCAGCAGCATGAGTACCACGTCATGCTGGGCGTACTCCTGGATCTCTGTCAGCCAGGCCTGTGGGGGGAGAGCTGAGGACAGGCTGGAGGCTGGAGCTCCTGGCACCCCTTGCCCCCCTCCAGGACACACCCCACAGAGTGCCTGTCAGTGTCTGGCTAACAGGAGGGCCCCTGAACTAGTGCTCCCCATGTGCCGTGCAGGGGCAATCCAACAGGTACCTTATCTAAGGAGTTGGGCTGGTGGACTAGAAGGTCACCCCAGCCCCCTTCAGCTCACTCTCAACGTGAACCACTGTACTTGGGCCATCAGGAGCCCAGAGGGGCAGTCTTTTCCTCTCCACACTGTCAGTAGGGACCTCAACTCTCTGGGATCCTGATGCCATCTGTGCCTGAGGGAGGCTGGGGATGGGGTCAGATCTTGGCCTGTCTCCAGGAAGGAAGCCACTGACCTGGATGCTGTCGAAGGAGGCCTTGTTGGTGACATCATAGAGCAGCAGCAGTGCTGGGGGTAGAGGGCCAGTGAGGACACCTGCAGAGCCCACAGCGGCTCCCCATCACCCTCACCCTCATGCATCGCACCCTTCACACTTCTGCCCACTCACTCCCAGGGTGCCCTACTCCAAGCAGAAGCCTAGGGAGTGTGGCCCCGACTCCCTGGAGCTAGGGTACGGTGCCCATGAGCTCACCATGAGCGTCTCGGTAGTAGGCATGGGTGACGCTGCGAAACCTTTCCTGGCCAGCCGTGTCCCAGATCTGCAGCAAGGGCATAGTGCAGCTGTCAGGGCTGCTCAGTCCTTCCCAGGTGCCCTCTGCCCTCAATTCCCCCTCCCCCCAGTCACCTCTCACCTGCAGCTTCACCTTCATGCCATCCACATCCAGAACTTTGTTCTGAAACACAACCAGCCAGCTCCAAGGAGGGCCCAGGGCCGATGCACCATCCTAGGCAGCAGCTAGACCGGTGCCACCCTCCGGTGGGGGGTGGGGGGTAAGGGGGTGGATAGGGTGGGGGGAGGCAGGCAGTGCCAGGCCAGGACTGAGCCGGGGACTGAGGGGACCCCGATGTGTCCCTAATTCATTATCCCTGGCCTCAGCTGGCTCTGCCTCCAGGGCCCACCTGGTTCTTGACTACCTCACTGCCCTCTACCTACAGATAAAGCTTCCCCTTGAATCCAAGTCCTCGTGTCCACCCAGCTCTCCCCCATACCTCCTACACCTCCTGCTGCTGAGCCCCTCTTGGTGACCTGTGCATAGAGGGTGCCCAGGCTGACCCCGCTTAGCTGGCTGTCCTGATGGACTGGAAGGTTGCCGCCCTCCATGGCCAGCTGTGTCCATTCTGGGCCAGGTGGTCCTTCCTCTGCCCCTCTTGGAGGCCTGACACACAGCCCCACCAGCTCCCCTACCCTGCAGGGACCCCGGTCGCCACCCACCCCAGTCACTCACTGAGTCCTGTTCCTCTGCACCCAGCCCCTCCCCTCTCTCTCCTTTACCCCAGCTGCCCTCCTCCCCCTGGTGCCCAGCCCCGGTGGCTTCCCTGAGCCTACTTGCCGGTTCAGCTTCACACTGCACGCCTGCCCCCTGCACTCTGCTCCTAGGTCTCAAGGCCATGCTCCAGCCCCCTCTCCCAGGCCACCAGCACTTCTCACAGCTCTGCACACGCTGCTCCTTTTGCTTAGAGCCACTTTCACGACTTATTTGAAGTCACCGTGTGACCCCAGGCTCATTACTAACACTGCCTCAGTTTCCCCATCCACAAATGGGGGTAGCCAGGGTGCTCATCACTTGGCTGCCCCGATTACTTTATGAGCTACTGTATGTAAAGCACTGAGAAACGAGTCTGGCCTGGTACGAGCTAAAGTGTTTGTTGTAATTTGAAAGCCTCTCTTCCTGCTCCGATGGCAGCTGCCTGAGGCTAGGGCCCCATGCAGTAAGCACAGAGCCCAGACCTTGGCCTGGTACACAGTGGGTGCTCCTTATGTGCTTGCTTGCTGGCTGATGATGCTCCCTAGCCAGGCCCTCCCAGTTCAGGACTAGAGCAGGGAGTGGCTCAACCCCGGTTCCTATCTGCTGGGGTGGGGACAGGAGCTGCTAACCACCAGCTGAGGCCCCGGGCAGCGGAAACAGCACCACCTCCCTCTTCACCCAGCGCCTGCTGTCAGGGTGCTTCTGGGTCTCCAGGGAACTGGGTGCAGCCATCTGTCCCGCTGCAGGGAGGCTGGGGAGGACATCCCGCCTTCCCTGGCACCCTGAACAGGGGTGCGAACTACACAGCCTCACCAGCTGCCCCAGAGCCAAGAGGGAGGTGAGAAGGGGGGAGGTGAGGCCAGAACAGGCAGAGAACTGGGCCTAAACCTCCCCCTTCTGTCACCTCAACCCTTAGTTCATCCCAGAGGACCTGAGGGGCTCTGCCCCCACAGAGGGTAGAGAATGGCTCCCCAGACTGGAGGGAGCCCCCCATTCCCAGTCCCCAGAAGGAGCCTCCCTGCCAGCCTTCTGCTGACTGGGTCTAATGAAAGGGTGAGAAAAATGCAAATCTGGGATTTGCTGAGAACACATCACCTCAGCACGTGGAATTTAGACTGATGCCTGAGCCCTGCAGGCCTAAGGCTGTGGCCCCCATCATTCCCCTGTGACCCCACAGGCTGCTTGGGGTGCTGGAGGGCTCTTGGGGAGCCAAGAGTCGAGGGACATCCCCAAGAAGGACCCCAGGACATAGCCCTCTAGCAGGGGGTGAGGTGGTGAGGCGGCTCCGCCAGGGAAAGCATCCAGGTGGGAACATTTCCCGTAAGCCTCCTCACCCAAGGGCAGGGACTTCTCCCTGGTTCTGAGACCGGGTGTGTGCTTCAATGCCTCAGCCATCTGTCTGGTATGGCCTGGGTAGGCCACCTGGCACTTCAGGGCCCCTCTGTACAGTGGGGCAGCGATGCTGGCCTCCTGAGTGGACACGGGTCTTGAGTTCCCATGGGGACACCAGCATCCACCGCCCCCAGGGTCGTGCCAGCCCCAGGCACAGGGGTACCATCTCTGCTTCGATTGTATACAGCCACCACCTCTCTCCAGGACCTTGAGATGTCGGGAGGCAGGCAGCTTGGTGGTTAAGGCATCCCACCTCAACCACCTTGACCGTGGGAGCCAGGTGGTCCAGCCAGGAGCTCCATCTCCTGAGCCTGTCGGTGCCACAGGGATAATGGAGAACCGGAGAACCAGCTGCCCAGGGGTGTTTCGAGCAGCTATTAGCTGGTGTTGGGGGCCCAGGGCATGGGCTGGGCCCAGTCAGTGCTCGGGACATCAGCCTCCACTCTTACCCTGAAGTCGATTCCCACAGTGGAGATGAAGGTCCCTGCCAGGAAAGCGCCATCCTTAAAGCGCACGAGTAAGCAGGTCTTCCCCACGCCCGAGTCTCCCACCAGCATGACCTGGGGCATAAAGAAAGAGCAGAGGGGACCTGGGTGCTGGCCCACCCGGAGGGGTGTCTGGTCTTCTCTGAGCTGTCCTGGTCAGATGGGCTGTGGGTGAGGGTCAGGAGTGGAGGGAGGTATCCTAAGTCTGCAGGTTCAGCAGGGTCTGGGGGAGACACAGAGCCTGGACTTCCATCTTCCACCTCTAGAAGGTTCTGTCCCCTCTCCTGAACATTGGCCTGTCTCCATCAGTGGGGAGTGGGAGTAGCTGCTTCCATACAGGGTGCTACCTGGACACCATGCTTGGTCTGGAAGGGGAGCATTTGGGGCTTAGTGGGGAGCAGAACCTGAGGGTTGGCCGCTGGGAGGCCTGGGTGGGGGGCCTCTGTGCCAGGGGGCTTCTTCCAATCCCAGCAAGGCTCTAGAGGAATTTGCCAAGTGAGGGTCAGATCTTGACATGAGGAGAGGCTCAGACCACGTCTGTGGACAGGGAGGGGCAGTCAGGCCTCCCTCTCCTCCCCTCCCCCAGCCTGTTGCCAAAGGCTCCAAAACCCAAAGATGGGCCTGCCACCCCTGCCCCCACAATTCACAAGCTTCTGCCTTGGCCTGAAGGAGGCCCCAGCATTCCCCACCAAACTGGCAAACCTCTTCTTAGTCTCGCCTCCTAAAGAGAAGAGACCAAAAGACCCTGGGGGTGAGAGAAGGCAGCATGTGAGAAATGATGAGCGTGGGTGGGGGCAGAAGCATAAGGGAACAGGGAGAGGACACCTGCCAGGCTCTTACTTCCGCAGGACCCCTTGTCCTGCCATGCCAGCTAGGTGGGGAGGGGGAGGGGGCAGGCCCTGCCATATATTGGGTATCCCAAACCCGCGTTTGACAGGTGTGTGTGTGTGTGTGTGTGTGTGTGTGTGTGTGTGTGTGTGTGTGTGATGCACCGCGCCAGCCATGCCAACTGCAGCTGCGGGGTGCCGCTCGAGTCAGCTCCTCGCCGAAGGTCTGCAGGTCCCTGCACCCTTTCCCCGGACCCCTCCCCACTCGGCTCCAGCCGGACGCCACCTGCTGCGCTCGCATGGGGCTGGGGGTCCCCGGCTCACCTTGAAGGCGACGTCGTAGAAGTCGCTGCCGCCGCCAAGCGAAGACCGGCCGGGCTGCGGGGGCCCGTTGGGAGGTGCCTCGGGGCCAGGGCGCGCAGTCCCGAGGGTGGCGGGCAGTGCGGAGGTAGCGGGCGCGCTACCCCCCTTGCTCTTGGAGGTCTTTTTCCTGGACATGGCAGGCGGGCTGGCGGGCGCTCAGTACGCTCCCGCTGCAGCCGCCGCGCCCCGGGACACCCTGCTCCCCGCGCTCTCGGAGCCAGACCCAGACCCTAAGCCGAAACCGTCCAGCGGCGGCTGCAACTACCTCCCCGGCGCCCTGCTCCGCGCCGCCCCCCCCCCGCCGCCCCCGCCGCCCCACAGCCCCGCAGCCACTCAGGCCCGGCCTCCCGCCGCCGCTACCAATGGCCGCTCTCGGGCGGGGCCAGTGTGTGTGTGTGTGTGTGTGTGTGTGTGTGTGTGTGTGTGTGTGTGTGATGCACCGCGCCAGCCATGCCAACTGCAGCTGCGGGGTGCCGCTCGAGTCAGCTCCTCGCCGAAGGTCTGCAGGTCCCTGCACCCTTTCCCCGGACCCCTCCCCACTCGGCTCCAGCCGGACGCCACCTGCTGCGCTCGCATGGGGCTGGGGGTCCCCGGCTCACCTTGAAGGCGACGTCGTAGAAGTCGCTGCCGCCGCCAAGCGAAGACCGGCCGGGCTGCGGGGGCCCGTTGGGAGGTGCCTCGGGGCCAGGGCGCGCAGTCCCGAGGGTGGCGGGCAGTGCGGAGGTAGCGGGCGCGCTACCCCCCTTGCTCTTGGAGGTCTTTTTCCTGGACATGGCAGGCGGGCTGGCGGGCGCTCAGTACGCTCCCGCTGCAGCCGCCGCGCCCCGGGACACCCTGCTCCCCGCGCTCTCGGAGCCAGACCCAGACCCTAAGCCGAAACCGTCCAGCGGCGGCTGCAACTACCTCCCCGGCGCCCTGCTCCGCGCCGCCCCGCCCCTGCCGCCCCCGCCGCCCCACAGCCCCGCAGCCACTCAGGCCCGGCCTCCCGCCGCCGCTACCAATGGCCGCTCTCGGGCGGGGCCATGCAAATGAGATGGCCTCCCCGGGAGCGGGGTCAGGAGGTCCGCGCCCTTCCCTGGGTGCTCGGGGTCCGAGCGCCTCTGTCCATTGGGGGCAGCTACCTCCCTGCCCTAGAGCCAGCGACGCCCTTCCATATCTGCATCGGGCCTGGGTGCGGGTTGGGGGCGGTGGGTGAGGGAGGGAGTACCCAGCGTCCTGTCGTTCCTCTGCTGGCTGTGCACCACCCCGCCCGGCTCTGCCCCTTGCCCAGTGACCCCCACTGGACTGCCTCCGGGCCTGGGACGAGGAGAGTGCCGTGAGATGGGGGCACTGAGGCAGTGGACCTGCGTGGGATGGGCACCCTTGGATTCCGTCCCTTCTCCGCCAGAGATGCCACCTGGCCTGCTGCGGCACCGACCCCCTCCCTTCCAGGGCAGGAGGGTCCAGGAAGCTCCAACTCTCGGGCTTGGCAAACAAACCCTGGTGCGCCCGCCGCTTGGGGCTCAGCTGACAGCTGGTTATCAGAGACAGGACATAGCGGCCAGGCTGAGCGGCAGGGCTGAGCTGGCAGGGCGCTCTACCCCGCAGCTTCTGCCTGCTGGGCTGAAGCTTCAGGATCCTTGGGGAAAGGGAAGTCACTGTCACAGCCAGCAGCAGGCCCTCTGAGAGTCCCCTCCCCTGGGGTTCTGCCCTCAGGGATCTCGAAGGTGAAGGAGGTGGGAGGCCCCTCTGCCAGGCTGTGGCTGTCTCCTTGGATTTCCAGTGCTTTCAAATGCTGATAATCCAAACCCTATGCTGGTCCCTGGCAGACTCCTCTCCAGGACCTGGCACCTGCTCCCCTCCTGGACTTCCTGGGGCTCTGTCCCAGGACTCCCACCCACCCAAGATGCTCTGGGTTTTGAGAGTGAGGCTGAGGTGGTCATGGAATCCTGGGAGTGGTGAGCAGAGGTGCCCCTCTCCCAGGGCTTGGGGGCAGCAGGTGCAGACGAAGGGCAGCCCTCCTGCTCTGTCCTCCTTCATCCTGAGACATGACAGCTGTTACTGGGAGCCTGGGCCCTTCAGAGGCCTGAGCCCTCTCAGCTGGCAGTGCCCAGAGTCCAAATAATTATAATGGGCAGAAGCTGTCTCTAGGGCTCAGAGGTCTGGGAAAACACAGGTGGAAGGATGCCGCCCAACAAAGCAATTCCTCGAAAGGGCCTGGCAGGGCCCTGCATGGGAGAGGCTTTGGAAAGCTGCCCTTCACTGAGTGCCATCGTGTGCCAGGTGCATGTCATCTTTAGAACTATCCTGTGAGGTGGGTGCTGCTCCCATCCCAGTGTTCAGATGGGAAACTGAGGCCCAGAGAGGGGAAGGGAGATGTCCAAGGTCACCAGGCAGGAAGTGGCAGAGCCGGGGTTTCTACGTGGGAACTCTGGCTCCAGAGAGCATAAACTGTCCCCAGCAGGGTTTGCCCAGAGGTTCCCTGGAGACGGAGACCTATCCCTCAGGGCTCTGTCAGAGCTGGGAACCAACCTGAGGAAGCCCTCTGAGGGCCCCCTGGCGTCCTTTTCTGTCTCACTCCTCTGGCTCCTCACTTCGTCCAGGCCAGATGCGGTTAGTGAAGCCTGCAGTGGGGGTGTTGGGTTCCCACTGCTGGGGCCCTGGGGACTCCAGGTGTCTCACTCCCAGGAGGCCAACGTCAGGGAGGTTGGCCCAGGGTCTCAGGTAGGGGATGCCCACTGGCCCTAGCATCCTAGGCAGTGGGCTCCCTATGTCCTCCTGCCAGCTGCTGCCAGAGCATGGCCAGGGCATGGGAACCACAGAGGAGTTTGGGTGCCCTAGGGGTGGGGCGTCCTGAGTTGGGGAGTGGGCTGCTGATAGGGTAACCAGGAAGAGAGAAGGAGGCAGGCATTCCAGAGAGAGTGGGAAGGTAGGAGGGGAGAGAAGCTGAGAGCAGAGGAGAAAGACTTGACCTTGCAACCTTTAAAATTAGGAGAGTATATAAAAATCCAGGTCTCTCGTTTCTCTTGAAAAGAGGGAATTCTTGGTCCCTGCCTTGCAGCACCCCTTCTTGCCTTTCTTGCCTTCCTACAGTCCTCCTCATCTTTGATCATTATGTCTCTTGGTTCCTCTATTTGCCATCTGTCTCACTCTCTGGAATGTAAGCTCTCTGGGCACAGGAAACAGCTTGTCTTGCTCACTGTCATATCCCTGGCAGCTGGCTCCAGGCTGCAACAAACAGTTATTAAATTGGTGAAAGAAGTATGAGTTAGAAATGTGGGCCCCACTTCAAGAGGACACATCATTGCCAATAAGGATTTAAGGGAGAACATGCCTCAACATACAATGAGAGTAAGACTAGTGTGATGAGTAGTGAGAGCAAGGCTTTGTGGAGGAGGGGCATTTACACTGGGCTTTGAAGATTGAGCAGGAGTCCAACAGCGGTAGAGACAGAGAAACTTGCCAGGTGGTGAGAGTGAGTATGTTCAGGCTCAGAGAGCCTGAACAGATGAGGCCAAAGTGTGGTCCAGTGGCTTGGAAGAAATGGGTGCTAATTCAATAGGTAACATAGGAGGGGACTAGATTGTAAGGTGAATTTGAATGTTTTGCCTAGGAGCTTGGAAATTGTTCAGTGAGAAGTAGGGAGCCATGCATGGTTTCTGAGGAGAGCAGTGGAGAGAGGGCACTGCTATAGGAATACAGGGAGTGGCCAGGAGGGGATGGATGGTGCAGCCTGTGGACAGGGAGATGAGTTTGAGGGGACTGCAGTAGCCCATGGGGAAGTAATGGGGATGGAGGGGAACTCCAGGAGAGACAGAATCTGCAGGCCCAGAGGGGAGGCAAGAAAGAGTCAGATACCCCTGGGGCAGAGACAGAGGGTGCTAAGATGGATTAAAGATGGCAAATTCTTTGCTACTCTTCCCAGTGAGGGGAGGGTCTATGTCTCCTACCTACCCTGGCAGGAGCTGTGATTACTTTGACCAATGGAAGTGACCCTGTGCCTGTTTCTGGACCCAGACCTTCCAGATTGGCAGCTCTCCCTTCCTGTCTCCTGGAACACTTATTCTTGGAACCCAGCTGCCATACTGTGAGAAAGCCAAGGTGGCCTCATGGAGAAGCCCAGGTGGAGAGGATCCCACTTGCCATCTACGTGAGTGAAGAAGACACCCTGGCAGCTTCCATGCAGAGCCGAGGTGAGCTGTCCCCACCGAGCACTGCGTCCCGGTCACACTGCAGACTCTGGGCATTTGGAAATGTCTGTCACATGGCATAGAGAAGGAGAACAGGTACCCAGCAAGGGGGAGAAAAGGGACCAGTTTGGTGGGAAAGTTCAGGAAGGTAGCTTTGGCGGGATCTAGGGATGCCCAGATTCTCAGGATCTTCTAATCTAGAGAGAAGACCCCCACAGGCCAGGCCAGGTCCCTGAAGCAGGATTTGGAGTTGAAGTGAGCCCTGGGGCTGAGGTACAGGTGAGGAGTGAGGTCTGTGTCCCTGGGGAGGGGGATACAGACTTACAAGCCCTCAGCCCTCTGGTATAGGGCTGGCTCTGCTGGGCAGGGGAGGGGCTACATGGTTCCATGTCCCAGCAAAGGGATGGAACAACCCCAGGACTCACTTCTGGACCCTCATCCCAGTACCCTCTGCTGGCCCAGATTCCTGGTCCCCTCATGTCCAGGGCCTTCAGCTCCTACACTCTGCCCTCTGACTTGCCCTTCCATGTGTCTGACCCCCTTGTCCTAGAGTGATGTGTGCCATGAGTCCCCAGACACGAGAACCCTCTGGAACCTATGACCTGGGGCAGTCTCTCTCTGGAACCCGATTTTCCAAGCCCTCCAGCTTCACGCTCACATTCCCACTCACCCACAGGGTGTGGCCCTCAAGCCAGGCAGCCTTAGACAGGAATGAGAGTCCTCCTCGACCTTCGTCCCAGGCTCTGCTTGGAGCCTCCTCCTCTGGGCAAACTTCCCGGGCTTCTCCCACCCCAACTCTTGCTCTGCAGACACGGAACCACGTTTGCTCTCCGGTGGTTCTTGGGGGACTGCACTGCCTCCACGCCAGCCTGTGAGCTTCCTGAGTACAGTGCCCATCGTGCCCACTCCTGCCCTCACCAAGCACAGGAATGAGAGCTACAGGACTGAGCAGGGCAGTGAGGCTGGGCTTCAGCATCCTTTAGCAAAGGGGGAAGGGCAGAGCCCCCAAAACTTGTGGCTTCAGAGCACCTCCCAAGAAGACAGTCCTAAGGAATTCAGCGATCTGAGGACAAGGGACCCTGGCTGGGAGTCGTGCCAGAAGGCAGAGGCCCCGGCTGGGTCCCTGGCTTGCTGACTGACGCCGGGCGTGTAGCATACACAGTCTGGGCTCCCCTCTCTGTGAAATGAGGGGGCGGGAGGAACTGATCTCCGAGGTCCCTTCCAGCTCAAACACCTTATGTTCTATGAAATCCATGTGAACGTTGCCATGGAGACATCAGAGAGGAGCTGCAGCAGCACGGAATGTGACTTCCACCAGAGTTACCTGAGGAAGCAGCTCGTGTCAGAGGAGCCCTCCCCCCACCGCCCCAGAGGCCCGGGTGCACAGGGGCCACACTGAGTGTCCTGCTCCCGAGAGGACACACCTACCTGCCCCACCCTCCCCCATGTGACACTGAGGCCCTGTAGGTAGTAAGGGGTGGGTGTCCATCCCTGCCTGAGGGGAAAAGGACCAATTGGTGGGAGGGCTGGAGCACAGGGCTGTTTCCCTGTAGGTCTGCCCTCTGTCGTTGCTTCCCACAGCTGCTCAGGTACTCACACCTGAA